CTTTCCCATGGTGGAAGCTAGAGAGTGAGTAGGGGAATGGCAGTCACACACATTGAGGCAATTCCAGGGCCCATGGTAAACTGGATGATACAAACAGACAGGCGGTTCCAGGGAGAACTTGTTTATAGCTGTCCCAATTAATATTTATATGACAATAGCACTGGCATGCTTCAATGTGCTAGGGGTTGTTCATATACATCATAGGAAGACAATCCAGAGCCCAAGCGGTTTACAACCTAAGTACACAAGACAGACAAACCATAAGAGAAAATGACCCATGACTTCCATTGTATAGATGGGAATCTGCAGCACAGGGAGACCAAGTGACTCGCTGAAGGTCACACAGGAAGTACATGGCAGAGCTAGGAAACAATTCCAGATCGCTTGGATAAGCCTGTGAAATACCAGGTATGTCCTTCCTTCCTTCAGACTGACATTTAAGTAGGGTGCTTGTACTGTAAATCTAGGAAGAAGGGGAGCCATATTTTACTACAGCAGTGTGGAGGACACGGTCAAGAGTAGTTCAAGTTGTGTTTGCTGGGGATTAAACGGGTTTTGATGGCCTACATGTAAGCATCTTACTCTACGGACTCTTTTTATCACCACATAAGATTAGAAAAGCGTGTTCAGAGGATGTCCCCAGATTTAAAACAAGGTCCTAATAGCCCTTCACACATTGTCTTCTTTTCAATGTCTGTCTAGCACCCAGCAGAATATGATCATAATCCTGACTGGGGTCTTTGGAAGCAACACACACACGCACACACTCTTTGCTATACTTTTTCAAAATATATTTTACCAGTCACAGTTTAGATTCCTAGGATTAAAAAAACCCTAGCATCTTCAGCTTGAGTTGTTTATTTTTCCCCACAGTCAATCAGGAGGGTCCAGAAGAGGGCCATTTGTATGGTCAGGGGCTTACAGGACAAGCCCTATGAGCAGAGACTGAGGGACCTGAACCTCTTCAGCCTCCGCAAGAGAAGGCTGAGAAGTGATCTTGTGGCCGCCTACAAATTCATTCGGGGGGACGCAGCAAGGGATCGGAGATGCTCTGTTCACCAGGGTGCCTCTTGGGGTAACAAGAAACAATGGTCACAAACTGACAGAGAGTAGATTTAGGCTAGATACCAGGAAAAACTTCATGGTGAGGGTGGCCAAAATTTGGAATGGGCTTCCAAGGGAGGTGGTGCTCTCTCCTACCTTGGGGGTCTTTAAGAGAAAGCTGGATAGGCATCTGGCTGGGATCATCTGACCCCAGTGCTCTTTCCTGCCTAGGCAGGGGGTCAGACTCCATGATCTGTTGAGGTCCCTTCCAACCCGAGCATCTATGAATTACACATCTTTGAGAGAGTCTATTCTACAATAAGGGAGAGGAAAGTGAGTCTATAAATCTCCCCCCTCACCCCTGGTCTCAACCAAAAAAAAAAAAAAGAAAAAGAAAAAGATTGACCAGGGAACTGGAGGCCAAATATGAAACTTGAAACTCAGTTCTGGAGACTGACTACATCAGAAGCAGATAATCCCCACATGTATATTTAAGGAGACACTTGTTTCCAGACATCCTACGAACACTCAAAGGAGATCATCTAGACCACATTGCCAGCAGCTTTAAATATACTAGTTCACTACATTCTAGTTCAATCTACTGGAGTTATATCACAGCATTGACCTATCAAGGCAGTCCAGTACCCTGCTCTTGCTAGTAGCAAGGAAGGTACCCATCCCTGACCTGGCTCAGCTGTGTACTAATGGAGAGACTTTCCATCTGCTGACAAAGCATGAGTAGAACTGATTGGGAATTCCTTTTTGTGACAACTTTATCAAAATGCTGATTCATCGAAAGCTTGGGGTGGAAAGGAGGATTCATAACACTTTTGATAAAACTTGTGTGATGAATGACCTTTCAGCTTAGGGGTTGAGTTTTTGGTGAAAGACAGGGTAAAAGTGACCTCAGAATAGCAATAGTAAATAATCTGAGTATCAGGCTACTGGCACCTCCATTTCCATAAAGAACTTTAAGGGATTTTAGTTTTCCGCCGATGAAAAAAATGAAGATTTTTTAATTGTCCAAGTTTCAATGGGAAACTGGCTTCTCACCCAGTTCCAATCACGAGCTTCAGGAGCCTTTAATTTCTCAGGACACATAACATGTACATACGTATTGGTAGTACAGACACTCTGACAAACTTGGTCTCTAAAGAAGGGGAAGATGAAAATCCAAGGGCAGCAGCAGCATACAAAGGAGAAAATACTCACAACCTTTTTTATAATAGGTACACATTAACTGTATCTAAATATCATTCAATCTATTAGTGAATGATAGCTAGGGAGCTTTTTCTGGGAACTGCTGAAGAAATGAGTGCAAAGAGAGATGAAGTAGTATTACAGCCTTATGGATCCAATTCAGTAAGAACGTTGCACCTGAAGCAGATGAATGGGCAGTTCAGTCACTATTGCTCATTTGATCCAATACAAAAAAAACCCCTAAAACCCAGTGATGCTCTGCGCCTGGAAAATGATTGGTGCTAGTGACTGACAGAGGCAGGCTACAGGCAGTCAAAGAAACTACCACAGCTGCTTTTATTGACCCTGTCATGTACTCCATCAGTTGCCTCCTTACTCTCAAGGGATGTGACATAACTAGAAGAGTCTGGACAGCTTTTCTTTGCCCATCCACCTTTTTACATATGCCACTCAAGGTCCTTCTAACCCTTCTCTGCTTGGGAACTGCAGGTGTCTTTGTAAAAGGATCTAGGAAAATTCTCTGCAAGGCTTAGCAAAGTGGTGGTCATCTTTAACAGGACACTGAAGGGATGGGTCAGAATGGGGTAAGGAGAGGGATCTGAGAGATGATCTCACCCCCTTACGAAGCAGTTGGCTGAAAAGCACTAATTACAGGGGAAAATTTGGCATAGGCAAGTTTCCCTGAAAGCTTATTTTGGCTAAGCAGAGCCAGGTCCATAGCTCACCTTGGAGATCCTTATGTTGCGTCTCACTTAGGCAGAGAGGACACTGTAGAGCAATGCTGGCACTACCAGTTGTGTGGCTGAAGGCCACCTTGCTGTGGAACATGTGGGGTTGTGATAGCCAGGGTGGCTGCTTCTATTGTTTGTGGGGCCTTCCCCCCCTTCTCTCGTTCTAACAAAGATTCTGATTAATGATTGCTCATTCCTAATTGTCAAATTTCTTTTCCTTCATCCTGTGTCTAATCACCAGTGACAGAAGCCATTACGCAAATGAGAGCAGACGACTTCCCACAACTGTTCTCGTTGGTAAAAGCCTTGTAATTTAAAGCTCTGATTTGTAGAGGAAAGCTGCGTTTCCCCAAGGCGTCCGGGCATCTGTTCCACTTACACTCTGAGAGCCTTCACTTCCGCTCCCTCCCCCGCCAATTAATCTTCCGCTCACACAAATATTTGACTTTGCAAGGCAGTAATTAGAACTTACTTTGCATGTGCTCATCCTGGCGAAAGCCTCTTCTCCTCTTTCCTTGTCTGAAGACCTGCTCAATGTAAAACAATGCGTGATGGAGGTGGCGACCCTTAACCTGCTTGAAGATGTGATGCTGAACTCAAACCTCCCAACAGAGGTGGGCCCACCCAGATCCACAATCTCTGACTGGAACAGAGATGAGCTGAGGTCCAATAGCAACTAGATATTGCTAGAATTGAATTGGGAATTGAAAAGGGAATTGAAGATACAAGGAAATGGAGTTTAAGGGAAGTATTGTGAAAGATAACTATTTACAATAGATTTTTACCACTGGGAGTAACAGACTAATCTGTGAAACAGAAGGCAGCAACATTAGGGCCTGGGGGGGGGGGGAAATCGCATGATCATGGACCAAACACCAAAGCATCTTTTGGTGCCATCAGACCTCCCAGCTAGATGCTGGTCACAAAGGGAGGTCATTTGTACAAATCCAGCAGCCTGCCAATCTTCTGTTTTTACAGGTCTCCATTCAGCCATAAAAACAGACATAGCCTGGAAGCCCATGGCCACAGACTTTCCTTCTCCTTCAGAGAATCTCCTCTTCAAGAAATCAAGGGACAGAAGACAAAAGGCAAATGGGAGCTAGCAAAGGAAGCAAGAGGCAAAGAAGAGAAAATAAAATGCAAAGTAGGCATATAAAGGGAAGAAAAAAACATGAGTCAGATATGGGTTATCTTCTGCAGAGTTCACACACTGCCTGAATGATGGTGAGTAGTGTTGGAGTGATGTTATAGTCATGATGGTGCAGGAATTACATTTTTTTGTGGGTGTTACTTTTCATTGGAACAACTGCATGGTTAAGATACAGTCAAGGTAAGTTTTCAAATGCAAGGCATTCTTTATCAGGTACAAAAGCATACTCCCTGTATGAATCACTTCACTGCGGTGCCTCAGTTTTCCCACCTAGAAAAACAAATGGGCTAATCCCGCTGTCACTCACAGGCCTATTGCAAGGCTTGTTGTAAAGGGTTTTGTGCTCAGGGATGATTGCTGCAAAAGGGCAAAGGTTAGACATGTCTACCCTATGTACTATCATCAAGGTAAGTTACTCATACACAAGGCATGCAACAGCATAGGTATCATAGAAAGCTGAGGCAGCCACTCTCACAAATGATGTGTCACATTGTGCAGATCTAGAAGTAAATACATATTTCAAAGGGACATGATCCCATGAAGATACAGGTCATAACCTGTGCAGGAACAAAGATAAGAACAGGAAACAGAGACCAGCAGTGTTGGATCATGACATCGCCTCTACCCAAATCCTAACTGCCTAATGCTGGAGTTCCTAGACACTATGCAATCACTGATACTCCATCCTCCTCTGCTTATCTGCCATTCACTGTTCACCGAGCAATTCACCTCTTCCCTTGTCCATTTTCCCTCCTCCACTCCCAAACCATGTATGTGCCTTTAACCCAATGAATCAAATGGAGACACCATTAATCATAGAGCAGTCACATGCTCCCCAGCCCAATCACTAGCTGCATTTGACAAATTAAGAAAAAAAAAATCCAACCAGTGCACTGTTTCGGAACTACCCAAGGATGCCTCTACGAAATGCCCCGATCTTGTCCAACCGAGTGCTCCCCACCTTGCTACACGAACACAAAAGTATCCTAAATAATTTCCACCCAGCTGAGATGAATGTGATTACACAAAATGGTTCCCACTGAGCTATCAGGCACATATAAATTAACTCCCTTAAAGTTTAATAGACATGAGGCATCATAATCAACACACATTGTAATGCATACCAGAGCTGTGTGTATGTAGAATCTCACAAGAATACACTGGCCTTTATGCTTAGGGGCAGATCTGCTGCTGCTTACAAAAAAGTGAGATGTTTGATCATAGGAAAATAGGGCCGACAGGGACCTTATGAGACCATCTAGTCTAGCTCCCTGCTCAAGGCAGGATCATCTCTGACTTAAACCATCCCACTCAAGTGTCTGTCTAATCTGTTCTTGAAAATTTTCAGGGATGGAGATTCCACAGCTTTTCAAAGTAGCCTGTTCCAACCTCAGTAAGATCCTCCTAATCTCCAAACTGAATTTCCTCTGCTGTAGCTTGAAGCCATTGTTTTAGTCCTGTTCCCTAAAGCCATAAAGAATTGTCTATCTCCATCCTTTCCATAATCACCCTTCAGGTATTTGAAGACTATTACCAAATCTCCCTCAGTCATCCCTTCTCCAGAATAAGTTCACCTAGTTCTTTTTTCCCCATAAATCATGCTTTCCAGGCCTATAATCATTTTGGTTGCTCTCCACTGTTCTCTTTCCAATCTGTCCATATCTTTCTTGAAGTGTAGTGCCCAAAACTGGACACAATACAGCAGATAAAGCCTCACCAGCACTGAAGCATGGAAGAATCACTTCCTTTCATTTGCAAGAGAGACTCTTAACAAATGCACAGAGGACACAGGATGGCTCTGGGGACTGGTTTTGACAAAGGTTTTTCAGCTCTCACTCATGGCCTCACATCTAACCCATGCTTATACCAGCTGACAGTGGCTGGGTGGGCTGGCATGCGTGAAGTTTTATCAGTCCTATGGTTGGTGTGCAAGTGTCCCTATAGGCAATTCCTTATTGCTCCAAGAAGCCCAGAATACACTGATAACACCATGTAGACAGGACTCCTCTTTTACCCCAAGGAATGTTATCATCTCAGGGGAATAGGGGTAAGACATTGCCAAGAAGCTGCATGTAACAGGGAACATAAACCCTGTTACTAGGAAGCACAACGGCTCCTTCAAGAACAGTACTTTCAGGGCTGGTCGGGTGACCGGAAGAGAGCTCAGGCTAGAGCTATATAAACTCTGGTCTGAGCTAGCCAGGCGGGACCGGGCTGAGGGTAGACTCCGGAGAACTCCCAGAGAAGCTGCAGCAGCTCTTGGAGAGACAGCAGCAGACACTGGGATGCAGAGACAAGCCACGGCACTGCAAGCAGGCAAACTGCCTTTTTACCTTTATTTTTGTTATAGCCCAGGGGCTTACTGCTTATGCTGCATTTTGTAAACTGGTGGTTTGTGGCTGAGGCTGTAGGGGTGGAGACCTCATTAGCACTCACAGGGTGCAGCTACAGAGGGGCTAGAGAGCCCAGCACCAGAGGGTACAGCAGACAAGGGCCAGAGGCCCAGTGCGGGGGGCTAGGGCCTTAAAGCCAGGCCTGAGATAATAGGTATGGGCAAAAGGGCTTAGCCATATACAAGGGGATGAGGCCGGATAGGCTGGAGTCCCAACACAGTTGGAGAACAGCGTATAGGACCATGTGCCCACAGCATACTAAGGGGCTAGAGCCTATCTAGTGCGTCTAGGCTGGTGGGCCTAGCTAGAAAGAAAGGTGCAGAAGCCAAGTAGGCTGAAGTCCCAAGACACGCATACAACTAACCTCTGCGGGGTATGAGGCATGCTAAGGGAAAGCTGGAACATGCACTTAGCCTCTAAGGCAAAAGGCCCTCACCTTTGGTGAGTGGGAGCGTAGATATCGTTTTGGAAGCCCTGGGGCAGCTTCAAGAACCAAGGAACATCAAGCTGTGGCAGGTGAGTGGAGTTTGTTCCCAGAGGAAAACTGAGCTATCAAATGACTTTGGGTACCTTCGTAGGCTTAAAAATGCCGCTGAAGGTGTTACCCTGTTACACTGCACCACTGGCACTATCCATATTTGTTAAAAGATTAAAGGGCCAGCAATAGGGCACCCTTGACCTGTAGTGACTTCTTTAAAGAATTTAAAAGCTGAAGAATTCCAAGCTCTGGATTGTGGATGCTATGCTGATGTCCTCTTTCCCACAAAAATGAATGCCTTAACTTTGTATATTCTGCTTTAGGAACCAGCACTCACAGAGAATAAAAGCCACACACTTCTGTTGTTCAACATTGGTTGTATTTAAGAACTACACTTCAGAAGGTACCATGTGTTTCTCTCACACACCCCTATTGTAAAACACACACAGCTTCCCGATACCATTGCAGGGGCCTTGAAAGCACAAATGGAAAGGGGAGTGGAGGGATGGAAAACGTCAGTCCGTCAGTGCACTGTAAGTGAGCTTTCATGACAGTCAAGTGCAGCAAAAACTGCTCAGACACTTAAAAAGTTAGACCTTTGGCAATAAAAAAAAAATCCCATAGTTTCCATATGTACCATCCTCTCTGTGAGGCACTTGGACCTCACATCGTGGGATTCAAAAAATGGAGGCGCCAGCTAGCAGCTCATATGACTGCCGTGCTCTGAACAATGTCATGTAGATAAGGTCCACATCGGCCATCCGCTAAGTAAGGCAAGAGGACTTGCCCACACTCCAACAACTTTTGGGAAGACTTCAGTTTTAGCCAGAGACAGAAGACGTTGATTGTTTCTCCTTTTCTCCATCTCCAAGGTGGAGGGTTGAAAAATACTTGCTGAGTGACCTTGGTTCTGATCTAGACAGAGCTCTGGAGAAGAAGTTTGTCTCCTGCTGCCCCCTCACCTGGGGTTTCATTTTACTAAATCAGTGGCATGGGGATCTTCTGTAACGAGATGTCTGTTGTTGCCCACTGTGCCACTCTTGACACCAGACCTGAAACCAGCCTTTGAGAACAATTCAAAAAACTGAAAGAACCCACTAGATATTGTCAGACAATTCAGTTGAGTTAAGTATTTCTTCTGTTTCTATGTGAGGAAAGTTCACTGTAAATGTTATTAGAACTGTCCCAGCACAAGGTAGCACAGAACTAGATAAAGATACAATGGGATTTCCCTAGTGTTGTCTCCTGCCTGGACTGTAAACTTCACAGAAACCTGCATGTCAAGATAGGCCCCAAAGAGAAAAGGAGATAAAGCACTAGGAAATAAAGTTAAAGGAACTAGCTCTCACTGGTCATTGGGGTGCATTAAATGGGACCCAGTACAGCTTATCCCACCTCTAATTTCTATGATCACTTACAGCCATATTCAATAGACCGCCTAGGAATAGCATAGCAATGCATGATGAGAAACTAGAGCATGTCCCCATGTGAATTGGAAGCCTCTGCAAGGAAAAACAACTAGGAAGAGTTTGATGGCTCTTCTGGTAGGTTGCTGGGACTCTAAAAAGGAAGCTCTGCTGCTTCCAAGTCCTTGCCTTTCCATTTCTGAGGCTACCGTGCTAAGTCCAAAGGATTCAAACAAATTTAAACACACTTAAACAAAAACCTTCCCCCCACTTCTCCCACACGGTTGTACAAGAAAAGGTGCAACACAACAGCACAAGCCAAACTGGTACACTGAGAGCCTGACAGCTTTACACACACACTACTTGCTGAGCTTACCAGTAAAGGGCACTTTCTGTTTTGTCCAAGGAACTGGCACCCCCTGGTGGAGAAAAGGGAAGCTGTGTGCGTCTCATTCTGAACTGGTCATTCAACAGTCTCTCAGTTCAGGACCCCTGAAAATCAGTTTTCATGCAGCTTAATCATAGGAGACTTGGTCAGTGTCCTGGCGTGTCTATGGCCCTTTACCACGCTACACCCACTTTTAATCATACTGTGACTTTAGAAAGAGAGGAATGAAACCTTCACTCCTGAAAGAAATCTGTCAACAGAAGAAAAAAGGTTCCCCACCAGCTTCATACAAGAAGCAGGACTCAGAAAGGGTGGGATTTTGTGTGCACATACTATATGGATTCAATCATTCTACTCCGTACCCAGCTCCAATGCCCTGAGCATAAATGTCTTGGGGGTAGGGGGATCCAAATCATCTGCCCAGTTGCTCCTCATACCAAAGTCATCACATGCTTATTCCCACCATCTACAAGTGCCAGGATTCAGCAGGGACAAGACCTAACACAAGAGGGTCATGAAAAGCTAAGGCTTTCCATACCAGTTTTCAGATACCATGCGTCACTGCAAGCACCACAGAAACCCAGCTGATGGGCTTGAACTCTAGAAGGCTGAGGGAACAAGATCACAACTGGCTCCCTCCCAAACTGTCCTTTATACACTTTAAACCCCAAAAGGAACACATCTGAGTGCCTGAAGCCACACTTCTCATCTCAGCACACAGGGAAAACACAGTTACTGGAAGATGGATTCTTGCCCATTAAGTGCAGATTCGTTCTTGGGAGGTGGAAGGTTCAGTTGGATGACAGTGGGGAAAGAAGGGGGGGGCTAATGGTTTTGCAGTTCCAGTAGTCCCCTTAAATTGTTGTGGGGCGGGACAGGGATGGGCCAAGAACCCATCAGTCTGTTAAGTGCTGCGTGCAATACTAGCGCTCAGTATCTTCCATTGCTTGTGAACAAAGCAGCTCCAACAGTCACCCAGGTAGCTAGGGCTTAGTCATACCGACCCTTAATCATCATGTTCAACAAGGGACCCACCTGTTCAAGACAAAGAGAGATTGTTAGCCACAGAACATGCACCACAACAGGGGTTGCAAAAGTCCATTCCCTTACTATCTCTGGCTGTGATATTATCAGCTCCTACAAACTAAGTAAGGTGAAGAAAACAGAAGATTGGCAACACTGGAGTTTGTTATTTATACTCCAGAAAACACATTTGGCCCAGTTCATAATGAACCACGACAATGCCATGAGAGGACTGTACCATCTTTCAGATGAAATACAAGACCAATCTCAAAGATACTGCATATCTTTCCACAAAAGAAAGCCTTAGTGTCCTGGTCAAATCCCAGCTCAGGTATACTAAATACAACTTCTGTATGCAAAAAAAATCCCACCTGTAATTTCAGTTGTAACCCATTTAATTCACTTCTTGTCCTAAACTTGTTCTATATTGCTGGACGCTACGTATTAAACGAACTACCAAATTCAGAGGCTATTTCGGAGCAAAGGAATGTTCTCCTTGTATAATCTGAGAGATATTTTGAGATCATTTGAAATGAAAAACTTGACAGAGATGTTTACCATGCCTTGACCTATCAGTAAACATTGCCTTGGAATAGCCAGGAAATGCCTTTCACATCTTGGTTAAAAAAAAAGAAAAAGAAAAAAGGCACCTCCCCTTGGGGGATCACCCAGATACCAGATGTTTGGGCTAGAAAACACCACTAAATATTTTCAGACACCAACATGTCCTTGAACTGATCAACAGTTCAGGATCAGGGCTTGGAAAAATGTGTTTGTTATGAAGATGTTTGTATTTAGCACCCAGTACTTCAACTTCAGCAGAAGAGTGGATTTTCAGAGAGAAACTACATTCCAAATATTAGTTTCATCCTTCAGTTTATGAGGTACTAGCTCAGGGGTGGGCAATTATTTCGGGTGGAGGGACACTTACTGAGTTATGGCAAGCCATCGAGGGCCGCATGACAAGCAGCCAGGGGTAGATAAATAGTAATTTTCTAAATTTTTTTATGGGGTCCGCAGGCCGGATAGAATGGCCTGGCGGGCCACATCAGGCCCGTAGGCCGCATTTTGCCCACCTCTGTACTAGTTGCTAAAAGTCATATCAGAAACCAGGCTTGGGGAGAGGGGGGCAGAGAAGGAAGCAAGAGTGTTATCAGAATGAGGTGGCTCTCAGCCTGGGACAGCTAGACAAAACAATACTGTATTCCAGTGAGAAGCTAGTTACGGACCTTGCCCTAACTGCCCTGAAACATTACCCCCTTGATACTGTCATTCATCCTCTGTTCATCTTCTGACCAGCAATGTTTGTCCGGCAATATCCAGAATACAGCATAACAAGTCTTGGTGAAGAGACTGGTTTCCAATGTTACAACATACTGTGGTATGCACAAATCATTCCCAAGCTTTATAATTTGAGGGATTCATCATTTTGTAATCCCAAGGCACTGTGAGGTCAGTGTTAAGACTTGCCACTAACAATACTGCTGCATTGCCCCTTCTCCCTCAAGGCCACACAATTTGCTGGAGGCTGAAGTTCTGCCGACCATACTCATCTATTTCAATGGCAGTGGCAGCATTTCTTTTTAAATTGTACCTCTTGTGGGTTTCCCAGGGCCTCTCCCAGCATCTTCTCAATGTTCCTCATTATCGCCACTTTCTGATGAGCCTTTAATGGATATTCAATTCTCTTTGGAGTAGGGGCACCCTGAAAATAAAGAATAGCTCATTGTGTTCTTACTGAAATGTCTGCCTTCTCCCAGCATCACCTGTGTTGAGAGGAAATACTCAACCAAGCATCACAGATAATTAGCAACAATGTTCTCTCATGCCAAACCATGGACAGAACAAAATTCAGGTCTTTTCTAGTGACAAATCCTACATGCAAAATTACTGCTGTAATGTTAAGCCACGCTTGACAAAGACTGTTTTGTCTTCATGCTGCAGCACCAGAGAAGTTGGGAAAAGTTCTATGAAATAATGAACCACCACAAAGAAGTTTGAAGGAGAGGTCCTTACCTTGTACCAGAAATTCACAGTGATAGTAATTCCCCCATTCAGCAGAGACTCGATGTGATGCCACCTGCATAGAAACAGCACAAGATGGAGAGAGAAACTCCTGCAAAGTGAGACATCCCTAGATACTGCAGAGGGCCATATTACTGAAGAGTGACCTTGTCTTGTCCCTCTGCCATCAACAAAACCCCCCATCTGACCTTTGTACAACTCCCCTTAGTTACTGAAATCTAACCATTTTTGTGGCACATATGACTATAGCATCTGAAAACCCCACACACCTCAAAACTCCAGGGTAGGAAGTAGTTTTTCTCTCATTTACAGACAAGGACTGGAAGCAAAGAGTGGTAAAGATCTGCTTAAGACCTCACAGCAAGTATGCAGTTCAGCCTGAAATAACACCAAGATCTCCTGAAGCCCAGCACTGTTCCAACAAAAAGATTATCTTTTCCCTTTAAACTTCCATGTGCTCCACATCCCTTTTAACCTCTCATCCCAGCCCTGTCATGTGCCAGCTCATTGCATGCTCCTTACCAGTACATAGGGATGTAGAGAACATCACCCGGGCCCACCACTGTCTCATAGCCAACCACGTTTTGGAAATTAGGGAATTTCTCATAATCAGGATTGTCAAAGTCCACCTGGAGGATCAGAAAAGATAAGAACATAGAACTGATGAACAAAACATATGGAACTAAGCAGAGTATCTTTTTCATAGACGGTCTCTATTTCAGGCTCTCCCAGTCCTGCATCCTTCTGTTGATCTGTCCTTTGCAGGTCACTTCTGTACAACAAATACCTGCAAAAATGCTTCCAACTACTGTGGTGTTAAGTCTGAATGACAGTTACATCAAAAAGATTTCTTGGACTCTGTCTCTCTCAAGTTGGGGATAGATAAAAGAATCTTACCCCCTTTAAAAGGAAGGGGCTTAACAGCTGAATCCACCTTAACTGTTTTGTCTGCTGTTAGCCCACAGCAAATGGAAGCTAAACTGCAATAATTTCCCATTAGGTTAATTAATTCAGGAGTAAATTACTGCGATTCAATTTCACTTACTGCTGAATAGGAGTGGAGAGATAAAACAGTTACAGTGGATTCAGCTGATGTGCATGCATGAGCATAAATTCCCTCCTCAACTCGCCCTCCCTCCCTAATGCAGTATAGTTGCCTGCCCCAACTCTCCATGAATAATTAATGAAACAGGAAGAAGAAGAGTAAAGAGAAAGGAAATAGTCCCCCAGCTATTTTATTGCAAAACAAGATGTTTATATTCCTAGAATGTATGATTCAAGACTGAAAGAAAACTTCTTTGGATCAAAGCAAACAAGAGGAAGACAAGAAACATTTCCAAAAAAGTTATGCTCTTCAGCTAACAAATTAGCACTCAAGAGCCCAGAAGACAATGCTTTGCACATCTATCACATCTCAAAGTATCTGCAACATGAAGTTTTACATCATTACTATAGTAGACAGCAGATGGGGAAACTGAACACTTGAGGAATTAAATGACTTGTTCAGCTCACGGCTAGTAGCCAAACTCAAGAATTCTGTCTGCTCTATTACAAGAACATATTTGCCTCAAAGTGATGCTGATGTGTAACCTACTGCATAACTGAGGCACAGCAGAGTCCAATTTTACAATACAGAGACCAAATATAAAACTGATCTGATGCAGACATTCTAGTGGCTCAGCTGCAAGGTAGGAATCGGTTCACAATACAGATCCAGCATATCTTCCACATAGCTACAACTTTCCCAAATGTACTCCTTTCTGTGTGTAATAGAGAACAGATCCAATTCACCACAGTCATTATTCTCACCTGGCTCTGCCTGTCACATGGATGGTGCACAGGGTAGGGGTAGAGGCACTCAAACTGATCTGGAGGGAACAGGATACACCGCTTGTAGCCCTTGATCTGAGCAAAGAAGTTCTGCTGCTCATCATAGTGAGCTGGTGTCACGTTCCCTGCACAAAGAAAGAGGCTGATAGTCACCAGACAGAAACACTCTCATCTCTATTTTAAAGGCTGGAGCAAAGTAGCAGAGATAAGGAAAGCTAGGACTGGCTGCTTGAGTAAAAAAGGGGAGGAGCTTTTAAAAAACACAAAAGCTCTTAGTATGGGGGGGGAGGAGATAAATATACTCTATAGGGCTTTAAGGGGCTGATTAGAAAGTGGCAGTATTTTTGCAAGCTTTGTTTAAAAAAAAAAAAAGTGACATCCACTTCCTTGAGATGCCAGACCACCCCTCAGAGTAGGTCTCTATAACATGATCATTAGAGAAAGGACAGGAATACTGTCCAGTGAAGAAGCAGTTAATGATCAACACTTATTAGACTTCAATGGTAAGAAAAACCTTAGAAAAGGAACTGGGATTCTGAGCCACTGTCAGGCAATCTGCAAACTCAACAGCACTGCACTGGTTCAGACTTCATCTGTGTGTTAAGGTATCTCAGAAACTACAATGGTCAAATGCTAAATGTGGTTAAGAGAATAAGACTGCAAGACGGCAAACTCCAGAAAGATGTTCCTTTTCACCTCTGCAAACTGGCCCCAAAGACATACCTCAATGATTTTGAGTGACTCTTAACTGGATGTTGTTTGACCAAGTTACAAGCCTTTGGCAAGAGTCTATGCAGTGCATTTATACGGAGTTTTTCCTTTAAATTAGTAAAGCATACAGTGAAGGTAGGAGCTTTACTACGCGTGTTTGATTAGCTTACTTAGCTGCACAGTGAAAGTAACAGCCAGAGCTTAGACAGCCATCAATTTCTAAGGAGCTTAAGACTGGTAATTCAAGTGTGACAGGCAGTTTGATTAAATCTCATCCCCATGTCCCTCAGAACTGCTTAAATTCACAAACCAGATGAGAGATTAAAGAAATATTCGCCTTCCACTAAAATGTCCTGCATGAAGATGATGAAGTAAAGCACATGTTTTCTGAAACTTCAGCCTACATTTCAGTCCCCAAATTGATTTCCAATTCTACACTTATCAGGTGCCTACCTTCAAGATCCTAAGGGCACTATATGATGTTGCAATATCAAACTGAAGTCATTTGAAAGACAGTTCTTTCCTCCAATATGCTGCTCACTAACACCATGTTATGGCATTGGCTTGATATTGATTCAGAAAGATTAATTCCAACATCTCCTGACATTCTGAACAGGCTTACTCCTGCTTAGCTCACAACAGGTTGCATTCTGACCTTAGCCAACCTATTGCATGCTTGTTCTTGTAGTATTCAGAGACTGGAAAAAGAATGTAACATTCTGTGCACTTAAAAACCAGAAACCAATACAGGAATGTATAGGATCAGTTCACCCATCACTGATAAAGACCAGGGGCAGCTACAGACCATGACTGTTGTTAATTCAAAATACACTCCACAACTCTGATACGATGGCAGAGAGCTGAAACTACAGTGAGCAATTAAACCATGGAAACTTATCCAAACAACTACAGCATTCTTTGGTCGCTATGAACAACTTGGATTACAGAAAAAGTGTACGCACAAATGAAACTCCCTGTAAATTATCAGTGCTGCTTCCGAGACGACGAGAGGTCAGTTAATTCTGGAGAGAAGTGGTCAGAACAGCTGAAAATGACCCCCAGAATTCAAATTCACCAATGACCCTCCTGGAGAGCAGTGTTAGAATCAGTCAGTTGCTTACCTTCCATGCCAATAAGCAGTAAATTGGAGGTCAACTGCCCCCACCCACGCTTCCCCTGCTGCTTGTTAATCCAGTTCCAATTAAAGCCTAAGAAATCCATCACAATCTTCCTTCCAACTGTATCATTCAGTGTCTGCTGCAAATACAACCTGCATTTTCCAGAGAGAAAAGTTAAAGAGTGAGCATTAAGTATCTGTTCATACAAAAAGGCATCTTCTCATTACCCTCAAAAATATTTCCCTTTCACTCCACATGCACACACATATACTGCCCCCCTTTTACTATTACAAGCAGGTAGATTTGAAGATAAGTCTCACATAAACACTGAAAAATCACCTTCTCTCAAAAAGAGGGAGACACCTACTATTTTTAGAAATTCTACTATCACCATCCAGCCCCAGGGGCAGGAAGTCAGCTGGGGTCATAGGATCCTAGCAAGATAAAACATCCAAATTTCTCTTGAAGGTATTCAAAGTAGGCGCCTGAACCACCTCTGATGGCAGGCTATTCCAGACTTTGGGGACTCGGACAGTAAAGAAGCTCTTCCTTATGTCCAGCCTGAAACAGCCTTGGGGGAGTTTATAACCGTTCAACCTTGTCATTCCTTGGGGTGCAAGAAATTCATGTCTATGGAAGGGAAGAGTTCTGAAAACCTGAGTCAGTCAAACTTCACCCTACAGAAATTCTGACAAAGGAAATTGATTCAAATTTGGTTCAAATAATAATATATTGAAAGAAGGACTTTAGTGTTAGGCTTTGGAGCAAGGAGAAATTAACCAGCAAGTTCATTAAAAGGGAAGTTTAAAAAGCCCAATGTATCAGACAGCCACTGTCTATAGCCAAGTCAAATTAATCTGTACCTTTAAGCTTAGCCCTTCTTCTTAAATTAAGACACTAAAATCCCTGAGGAACCTTTCCAATAAAGAGCTTGTTTGGGCAGGATGAGGTTGAAGGAGCCTTAACATAACTATTAGATCTCAGCTCGCCAAGCTCAATGGCACATCTGAACATTGGTTCTTGCTCTGTAGCCACACAAGAGACAGAGAGAACCTCATTCACTGCAGATGAGTAGTGCATATTAATACTCCAATACCCAG